ACAAAAAATGTGGAGATATGACCCTAAATTAATGCTATTATAAAATTGGGACAGAATTAGACTCTTTGCACACAGACAACAGGGGAGTTTAACTCAGATGTTTAAGGCCACAAAAATACGCTAGAATTGACAGAGTAGGGCTGGGTGATATGGCAAAAAAAAAGATCACGATTCATTTTTTCATATCGTCTGATCTCGATTAATATTACGATTTTTTTCTTAACCTAACAAGTGACTGAAAAATATTTTAACAAATAAATAGCTACAGAAAAAAAAACAATGACTGTTATTTTAATTTCACTTTTATAATAAATAGCTGTGGTTCAGTAGAACATTACATTTTTTGCAAGGTGTTTAAAAAGTTATTTACCAAGAAATATAAACATTTATGTGGGAATCATAGAATCTCATATTAAGTTATTCTTTTGTAAAAATTTAAGTTTTAGAATTGAATTTTACATTAAAGAAACATAAACCCTATCAGCAACAATTTGTGCACACTTTGAATAGGATCTAAGCTCATTATTTACTTTTGTCATGAAAGGAACCCCACACCCCCAYGACCCCCTCCTGTTTACAGAGCTTTATCAAACAACAGACAACACCATTTCATTTTTTCTGAAAGAACATCTGATTCTGCACGACAAAATGTTGGATAAACTCCCACTTTCTGAGTGTTCAGGAGTTTGCAGCGTCTCTCAGCTGCTGTTTGTGACGAGACTCATAGAGGCAGCGATCTTCGCGTCGTGTCCAGCCCATCGTGTGCCGATAAAAYTTACAGAAGAGTTCTTCTGCAGATAAATAAATAACCGCTGGGACATTATTCGGTCCTAAACGTTACCCTAAGACAACTTCATATTTTTGGAGACGCTTTTGTTTTAGCGAGGCTCACATTTCTTTTTTTCCCCTCTCCCTCTCTCTCTGCGTGTCCGGAGGGGGACACCTCGCATGCCTGTTAGCAGGTAACAGCTGGTACAGGAAGCGACAGCGGCCAAAATACCTCAGAAACTCGCCCAAATAAGAGAACTGCGAGATTCAGCATTTTATACTGGATTACATTTTGTTTGGTTAATTCTGCGATAGGAGAAGGTGGATTCTATTTGGCTGTTGTCGCGTACATTCCCGCCATGTTTGTTCGAGTAAGAGGCTCACAGATAAACACCGTAATCGACCTGAATTTTTCTCGATCATTAATCGCTATCAAATAATCGCCCAGCCCTATGACAGAGGCATACATCCAGGGAACTACAAGTAAAAGCATTTGAAATATTTTTTTTAAATGTGCCATAATTTACTTACAAATGGTTAAATACAGTAGGAGGTTAGCAATTTAACGTGTTAAAGTTTGAAGACATTGGTTTCTTGGGCAGGGGGGATACTACAATTCAACTCATGCCAAATACATCTTTATTTGGGAAATCATTAAATATGTATCTTCCAAGATAAACTAATAACTCCTTATTAATATTTTACAAATTATCAAGTTATGTTCCTAACTGTAAAAACATTCCATTTCTCCAGCTCGTAATAAAACAATTAGCTGCAACTCTGCTGCTTCTTGTTTAGATATTGCTGCCAAAGCTGTCTAATAGTTTTTCCTGTAATCGGTAAAAACCTCGGGACAAATCTTTTGCAGAACTGTTACAAAGTCTCAGTTTCATAAGACTGAAAATATTCCAAACATTGCACCTTGTCCTGAACAAAGATGTTTGACACTAAATAGCAGCCTCATAGTCACAAGCTTAGTCATCTTTTCACCACAATCTGACCTCATTCTCCTAATAACACCTAGATGGACATTTGATGATGTGAATTCCATTATAAAGTCTAAAAACTTACAGTAGAGACTGTAGAAATATTCATATAAGCTTCAACTCTATTCATCTGAGTGCATCACCTACACTCTGTTAGTGAAGCCTCAAAGGGTGCAACTAATCCACTGCTGTGATGAGTGATGACAGTTTCACCTGGCTGTCCAAGTGAAACACGTTTAAGACACTTTGTCCATTGAGTATTTGTAAAACAGACCATGGTACAGGATTTAATCTGGTTACAGTTTCAGGGAAATGTTTCAAAATACCGTGTGCTAAGATTTCCTGTACACTGCTGATGGAGTAAAGCTTTAACTTTCTGTCTAAAATGCTACAAACTGGGACAGGTTCGACGTGCAAACRAAGCATATTGCTAAATAAATCTGTGAACCATAAGCCATCAATGATACATCCAAGTAGAGTTTTTGAAGCACAAAGTTTAGCAGTGTGGGAGTACGGTCGTTTTAAGTTTATATTTTAAAAAAGAACTCCTACACAACTTGTAAAATGTAGCAAACTATTGTTCAAAAAACTGGAAACGTTTTAGGAATATAGCATATTAAGACATTTTTTGTACCACTAGTAGGTAAAAAGCAGTATTATGATATAGTCTTGACTTTATTTTTCCAACTTGTTTATTTCTCTGCAACTATGACGTTGACGCCTATTCACTGGAAGAATACCTGCGCAGTGTATTTTCTTAAGAAAGAGCTGAAGGAATGTGAAGTAACTGGTGACTTGAACGCCACATTAACATAATACAACCGCTTTGAATAACCTTGGCCGAACAGTCTACACAGAAGACAGATAAGCAAAACTTCATCGTGAAAACATGAACTCGTAAGTGCATTGTATGTCATGGTACAACAACAGACTATGTTTAGCTTTCAAAGTTGGTTTACATACAGCTCAATGTCACCTTAGACCTACACTGACCAGATTTTTTAAATACTTCTATACACCTAGCATAAAAGTTTGAGCTGCTGTTGGAGGAGTGTTAGTTTTCATGACTGCTGCTGGTATATGACTCAAAGCAGCGCAAGTCAAAATGTGAACTTGTCAGGTCTCTCCCAAACCCATCATGACTAAGTTTCCTCTTCAGCGACTCAAAAAAAAGTGACAACTGATAGGAAGTAGTACGATACGCAACATTACCGTGGCACTGCAATTTCTCAAAACGTCTGTGCCATGAGACGTGTTCACAAACAATCAAATTAGCAAGAATTATAGTCAAAACAAGTTATTGATACTCAAATACATGCTGGTAAAAAAATTGAAACACAAAAAGCTAAAAAAATATCAACTGATCTTACCTCTGCAACAACAGCTAAAGAGACTAATGTCGTGTAACAAGTGCTGACTTCTTAGATCGCTTGAGCGGTGCTCGCCCCTGTGAGCCATAAAAAGACTGCATAGCAAGGAATGAGAAAGGGTATTTTTTGTTATTCTTGAGTGACAGCAACAGTGAGTTCAAAGGGCTCAAACACAGGGACGAGCTGTGTCAGATATTTTTGGTGAATTATTAAACATGCTTTGAATTTCTGTATGCTGATTTAGCTGAAATGAAGGATCGCTCGTCAAGATAGTTTTACAATGTGATGAAATCCTGTTTGAACATTCCCATTTCAAAGCAACACTGAAATTCCATTGTATCATACGAGCGCATGACAATGGCTACAGTATCATATGTTCCTCTGCAAGACATTCTGTCTGTAATCTGAATTGGCTTAGCGGTCAGATTATGTAACAAGTCCACAGATAACTTCTGCACTCCAAGATGACAAGCRCACCTCCTATCATTAAATCACAGTCCATTCCTCCCCAGGCATGAGATCATTTCCATGTTAAAATGCAGTTAGAGATAAATACAGTAGCCACTACAATACTCTCACTGTTGAATCACTACAGAAAACAAGTAGACACCACGGGTGCTGCAGCAAGCCGGGTCCCTTTTAATTGGATAGGAAGTGATCCCTTCAACTACACACCAAAAGGTGCTCAAAGGCTGCAACTCCACATCAATCTGAATAGCTGCAAACAATGTTTGCGAGAGCATGACATTACAGTCAGTGCCCAGATTTTAGAGTGCAGGGCAAACTGCAGAGCCTGCAAAGACTATGGTTGTATCAGTGGCATGCATGTTTGAATGACACTTTTTGCCATTAAACATTAAAATAAACTAAAGTACCTACTTCGTGCAGAATTTTCATGCGACTGTGTTCTTCAAAGGATAATGTTTAGCATCGATCAGATGAAATATATGTGTTCAGAATAACGTTTGTCGCAAATCGATGGGGAATTATGTAATTCACCGGTGCGCGAACACCGGAGAATTACATTACCCGCATTTTGACGGCGTTGTTGGTCGATAGAAGGCGTTAATTGTACTTGAATGAGAACACGTTTGCTGCCTCCGCTGTGTAGTGACAGACAGCAGGGAGGACTTTCAATTAAATGTGCCTTTACGGCAGCCTCAGTCAGTCTGGTCTGGAGCTCTTTCCTCGCGAGCAACCGCAGCGCGTGGAGTCCCACCGTTTCCACTCCGTCAAACAGCATTAATTCAGACCGTTATGTTAATATTACAGGTTGTGCAGGTGATAATATTAGGCATGGCTCAGATTATTTTCTAATACGTTACATATAACTTGTTGGCATCGATATATTCAGACAATTTAAGTGGCAAGCATTATCTAAACGTCAAATTACTGCCAAACATTGACTTTAAAATCCATCGTTTATGGCTAGCGTGAACCGTTAGCCGACTAGCTCCTACCTTAGCTTGTGCTGATTGTATTAGAGAGGGGAAATATATATATTTCAAAAGCAGCTTCTAACTGAATGGCAAGTCAAATAACACAGTCCAGAGCGAAGCAGAAGTCTCGGTAAATTATGTACAAATAATTTGAATATGACAATATCTCGGCAAGATTAGCCACCTGGATTGGAAAAAAAAAAAATGAAACGCCCAATGTCAGTATGTAAGCAAGATATAACGATAGCTAACAACGTTAGCTTCGTATAGAGCTACCCACCATTGGCTGGCCCTCGTTGATCACTGCACGCCAAAAACGAGGATTTAACCGGTCATGGCTTTATATGCAACGTCCCGAACACCTGGAAGCAATCCTTATCTTGTGGCATTTTGTCGCGCCAGCAGAGAAAATAACAATCAAAGGAACAAATACTTACTCCGTTCTCTAGAGAGCAACCCCCGTCCCTTTCTGTCTTTAACTCCCCCTCAGTCTCAGCGAAGACTAGACTCTCTCCGCCGAGCTGAGGTAAAGCCCCGCCCACTGCGCTGTCACAGCTACAACCAAATCTACAGCACGAACCTTACTGTCAAGATTAAGCCTACCCTACTCGGCGTTCATGGAATGTCCAATTCTATATACACCGGAAATGTCATGACGCATGCATTTTTTTAATTRTTACAATAAGCGAACAATGTTGATATAATTAACAGATGACTGGGAGTCCAGTAGTTGTCTTTACAGACCTCTTCCTTACAAACCGGGAGTGAAACAAAAGCATAAGCTTTTCTAAATTACCATAAATAAATGTTTTTTTTAGTTTACTTATTTTTCAAGGATTTCTAGTTTTCAAACATCACTTAAAGCATACGCATGTTTAAAACATCTTGTGTAATTTCCCAGTCGCTGAGCATGTCGTAGGCGGAAACACATCGGCGGGGAACTATCTTGTCCCGCTTCGTAGTCTTCTGTCACAACACCGCCGGGGACATGTGATGCGCGTCAAAAGGAGGATGGCTATGGACAGCTGGTGTGGATTTCCATTGGCTAGGCCAGCATATCAGTCGCCTATGGAAACGGTTACGTCATGATCCCCTCGTATTCTCAGTTTGCGCCCGTGTCGCTTTATAAATAAAGGATTTTTGAACAGTTCCCTCCCATCGTATGATCAAGTCAAATGCACTCATCGAAACGTCTCTATCATTTCTACGGCCCTGCAGTTTAAACTCCTACCTGAGCAACACAAGGCTCTTCCCTCAGCGCCTRATCAAACCCGACGTCATTGTTTCCATGATGTAGCGCGTTTTTTTCCCCCCCTCCCTCTCGCTCTCTTTGCTCCGGACTCAATGCCTGCATTATTTGCGATTCTCCAGTGCTGTTGAGTTGCACGCTTGGTAAACACAAACCCATGAGCAGGTCAGTGCCATGCAAAGAGCAGCACTGAATATAATCAGCGATTATACCAGCCAATCCATCAGACTTCTAGTATATAGCAGAAATTGAATGGCTAAGAATCGTCTAATGTCCCTAAGTGTTTTAAGACAAACAGTTGGATGAGACTAAACCTCACTTGCAGTCAATGAGTTCATTTTGGACCCCACTTTAAACAGAAAAGCCCCTCCAGTTAAGGTACTAATTGCAAACTATGAACTCAAACATAAAAAACCCGTTATGAACTACATCAAATGTCACAGTCTGAAAGAGTTTACTTTAGAGGTTTTCTAGGTATGTTAACGTACAATTCTAAAATGCAGGTACGCACTCTATGTAAACAAAGAACACCGCTGAATGTGCTGATAACCACCGGGAAGCTTGGGTCTCATGACCGACCTGCATTAGGCCTCGCTGTAGTCTGGATAGGTAAACAGATATGGCGGAATCAGACAAGCGTAGAATCTCGGAGGTGTTTAGGTATAAATAGTGTGAATACGCTGCTAAACGCAAAAGAGAAAGGGAGAAATGAATAACTGTCAAGAATAAATCTCATGGATCAAAAAAAGTTAGTGGAGAGTCATAAAGACAGAAATTAGCACTCATATATGCAATTTTTGCACAATCTTTAGACTGATTGACTCATTGTTTCTTTATATCAACAAATCTGAGTGTAACTGTCAGACTCCTTCATCCCTAACAACTTTTCCCAGGGGAACAGGAGGTGGGTGATAATTAT